GATGGTGGAGCTTTTAAAGTGGTGGAAGAAGGTGAGGGCAGTGGAGGGCGGTTGTGTGCAGAGGTCAGAGCTGAAGAGGATTAAAAGTTAGATATGGATGGGAGATGCAGATGAACTCATCACTCTGTGTGTAGTGCACTCATGGACTCTGCACTCTGTACATAGCAAACCCCTGAACTCTGCGTCTAGCACACACTGTTAGTGGAATTTGGCCTCACCTACCAATTGATGTGGTTTTGCCATTGTGTGTGTGTGTGTGTGTTTTTGGGGGGGAGGGCGCTTTAGGGCATGGTTGAGTTTCTGCACCTTTTCTCTGAGAAAAAAGCCCTGTATACACATATTTACATTGGTCCAAGCTGAACCAATGTAACTATGCAAAAACTATACCTAAATCAGAATCTGGAATTCTTCTTTAAATATTGTTTTAATGGAAAGAAAAAAAAAAAGGTGAAAAAAATAAAATAGTAGAAAGGGTACCACAAAACAGACATAAGAAACAGTACAAACAAAACGTTTAAAATACTTAAAGCAGAACCAAAGGCAAAACTTTTTTTTTCTCATTTTGGACAGAGTAAGGGAAGGTTAAAACTGCTGTCAGGTTTTCTTTTTGTCATCCTTGCCCCATTGCAGAGATTTTCCCTTCACTTGCTGTCCTATAGCCATAACAAGAGGTTAGAGGAAATCCCTCTAAAGTGCCAGGAATACTTGGTTGTCACCATGGTCCCCAGAATTAGTGTCCTCACTGAAGATTTCCTGTCTACTTCTATTCTGGGCCAACCCAAAATTTTTGATTTCCTATGACTTTCACTTTCGGTGGTAATTGTAAACATGACAAATAGGGTGAATTTCCCTAACAGAGGCATACACACATTAACAAAATCCTGACAGGTGTTCTAATATCTCTGCCTAAAACTAAAAGAAAAGTGTTGTCTTGAGACGGTGCACAGGCACAGTTGTGATTACTTGAGGATTAAGACCAGCTCAATGTAGGAAGTGTTATTGGCCTTAATAAAGTGACTTCGCATTCTTAATGGTTCCTGTTGGTAAATCAAGAGCTTCCAGCTGCTTGTTCAGCTACCTTTTCTTGTTCCCTGGACAAGCAATGCAGATTCCGCACCCAATCAAAAAGTTTAGATTTTTTGAGTTTTGGCGTGCAGGACTGTTTTATAATGCTATTTATCCTACGTAAGTCCATATTTCCATAGAACAATGCTTCACAATCCACAGTCTGTCAGATCAATCAGAATCAGATTGTGAAGGTTATTTACTAAAGCTGGAGAATGCAAAATCTGGTGTAACTCTGCACAGAATCCAATCAGCTTTCAGGTTTTATTATCCATGGGACACAGCCGATGACATATCACTACACCGGCCCATTGCTAGTGTCGTGTGACCGCTGTGACCAATCACAGCAGATCATATGTAGATTGTATACAATTAATGGCTTCCTGTCATGCCATCCATTGTATACAATTGTGTTGTTAGCTGTGATTGAGCAAAGCAGTCACATGGTACAGACAGGGCCAATCACAGCCCATCTGTATCATGTGTAAGCTTTGCCCAATCACAGCTAATAACAACAAAAGACTGAATGAATCAGTTTCATTCAGTAACAATGATTGCAAATATCGATGACATACATTGGTAGTAGAAATCATAATGTGTAAAAAAAAAAATGTGTGTTGAAAAAAAAAAAGAAAAAATAATAAATAAATAAATAGCAGTAAAAAAAGAAAAAATAATGTAATAAAAAAATAGAAAAATTAAAAAAAAAACAAATATTAAATTATCATTTTTATTTTTTTCTGCATACTCCCACAAGTCAGTGCCCCTGATCACTGCCACACCAGTTATATAATCACGCTGTACTGAACTGGTGACAGACAATATGTATAAAAAAAAAAAAGAATTTTTTAATGTCTATATTTTCCAAAAAATTGTAACAAAAACTTACACCTCCAAAAAACTCACCATGCCTCTTACTAAATACCTTGGACTGTCTATTTTCCAAAAATGGGTAATTTGGGGGGTATTTGTATTATGCTGGCATTTTAGGGCCTCAAGAAATTAGATTGGCTGTCAGTGCATTGATTGATCAATTGTCAGATATATATACCATGGTTTGTGGACTCTATAACTTTCCTACAGACTAAGTAATATATACTAATTTGGGGTATTTTCACCAAAGAAATGTAGGAGAATACATTTTGACCTAAATGTATGAAGAAATGTTATTTATTTGCAAAATTGTATAACAAAAACAAAGAAAAACGACTTTTTTTCAAAAGTTTCAGCTTTTTTTTGTTTATTTAGCAAAAAAATAAAAAAACTCAGTGGTGATTTAATACCACCAAAAGAAAGCTCTATTTGTGTGAAAAAAATGCTAAAATGAAAATTTTATAAGAAAAACATTTTTTTTCAAAATGTTTGGACTTTCATTGTTATAGCAAAAAAATAAAAATCCCAGAGGTGAATAAATACCACTATCTATCTCAAAAATGCTAAAAAATTCATATGGGTACAGTGTTGCATGACAGCACATTTGTCATTCAAAGTACAACAACACTGAAAGCTGAAAATTGGCCTGGGCAGGAAGGGGGTAAAAGTGCCCAGTATTGAAGTGGTTATCTATAATTCTCCTAGGAGGTCTAATTAGATTTTTTGTGGACTTCTGGACTATAGCCAAATATCACTAGTCTAGAAGATGGTTGAACTGGATGGACTTTTGTCTTTTTTCAGCCAGACTAACTATGTAACATTAGATCAGAGTCCCCTTATAGCAGCCCTGTACTTCTTACGGGGTCTCTAAGGGAATTGGGGGGTGCTGATATAAGGGGACTATGATCTAATGGGGGGGATCTCCAAGGAGGAGTGCTACTATAAAGGGACTCTGATCTAATGGGGGCTCTCGGGGGGGGGGGGGGGGGGGGTGCTGACTGCTGATTTAATGGTTGGTCACCAACCATTAGATCAGCAGTCAGCACCCCCCCTCCTTAGAGACCTCCATTAGATCCCACTTACAGAAACAATTAGGTTGAGTCCCCTTGTATCAGTGCCCCTTGCCCCAATTAGCCTGCCTGCAACCCAGGAAGTGTGGGAACCGGGGTTTGGGGGTGGAGCTGGGAGGTGCAGCAGCTCTACTGTAACATTATTTTCCTCCCACTGTGCAGGGGAAGAGGCAGGGGAGTCAGGGAGAATGCAAAGATAGCACAAGCAGGACCCACACAGGATTGAAATTCACACTGGTGCTGAGGTGCACTGAGAGCAGACCACCCGGCATTTGCTTCAGCACTGGGCCAGGATGGTTGGAATGATGATATTTATGTCCAGGTTTCAGGAGGACTGAAACCTGGTCACCCAGCACATTCGGGATGTTGTGCTAATTTCTATGCCGTACGCCCCCTCTAAATGTTGCACCTGGGGCAACAGCACCGGCTGCCCCCCCCTCCACACTACACCACTGGTCAAGCCCCCACTATTAGGGAAAGGGATGCCAAGGAAAGCCTTTCAGTTACGTGCCTGCAGAATCAAACATCACAGAAGGGTATTAAACGTATTTTTCACAAATCAAAATGTGATTATGGCTAATAAATACTTCCTGTATTAACCAGTTCCTGCCCGGCCAATAACGTAATGACAGCCAAGCAGGACTTTTGTCAATCCGGGTGGGCCTCATATGATAACCGATCTGTGTACCGTCCCATTGCTGGTACCATATGACTGCTGTGACCAATCACAGTAGATCACGTGACAATTGTAAACAATGGATGGCTTCCCTTTCATGTCATCCATTGTATACAATTGTGTTGATAGCTGTGATTGGTCACAGTACTCACATGGTACAGATTGGGCCAATCACTGCCCAATCATTGGCTGTGGCCAATCACAGATAATCACAACAAAAAACACTGAATTAATCTATTTCATTCATTTAAATGCTTGCCTATAGCAGTGAATTTCAGGCAATCATAATGTCTAAAAAAAAAAAAAAAATGCTGATCACTTCCCTAGAGTTTTTATTACAGGTACCATCAATTTACACAGCGCTTTACATATATATTGTACATTCACATTAGTTTCCTAACCCTCAAAGGGGCGTACAAATCTAAAGCCCCTAACTCACATTCATACATACACATACTAGGGCCAATTTAGACAGGATCCAATTAACCTACCAGCATGTCTTTAGAGTGTGGGAGGAGAATGGAGTAGCTGTAGGAAACCCATGCAGGCACAGGGAGAACATGCAAACTCCAGGCAGGTGGTGCGGTGGTTGGGATTCAAACCAACAACCTTAGTACTGTCACATGGCAGTGCTAACCATTTATTCACTGTGCTGCCCGTAGTTCAATGTTACTATGGTAACATTATATTACTCTGGTGACAGTGTTTTATTTAAAAAAAAATAATAAAAAAACTTAAAAAAGTAATACAAATTTAAAAAAATGTTAAATATATATATATATATTTTTTTTCCCACATGGTCACTAGTCAGTGTCCCTGATCACCACCACACCAGTTATATGATGCTGCACTGCACTGATGACAGTACGTGAAAAAAAATGGTGACATTGTATCTTTTAATTTCTTCATTTTTAAAAAAAAAAAAAAAAAAAAAAACCTTGCCATGCCTCTTACTAAATACCGCAGACTGTCTACTTTCCAAAAAGGAGTAAGTTAGGGGGGGAATATCTGTACTGTCCTGACATTTTTGGGCCTCAAGAAATGAGATAGGCCTTCAGCACATCAGGATTGATCGATTTTCAGATATATACCATAGCTTGTGGACTCTATAACTTTCCTACTTTAACCTTTCCTAATTAATAAACATTGCTTTTGGTTATTTTCACCAAAGAAATGTAGCAGTGTACATTCTGGCCTAAATATATGAAGAACAATTATTTATTCCAACATTTTATAACAGAAACAATGACGTCCATATGTCATATGACGTCCTCCCACTCTCACTGCGCATGCGTGGCTCAGGGAGCGCGCAGTGCGGCGATCGGGCGGTGCGCTGTGTCCCTCGGACACAGCGGATCACCGATCACGGAAAGAGCCGAAGATGTCGGCTCGGTCATGTGATCAGCTGTGTCCAATCACATCAGCTGATCACATGTAAACAGAGAAATGCCAGTTATCATCATTTCTCTCCTCTCGAGCTGTCACGCTGACAGCTCGAGAGGAGAGCCGGTAATCGGCTTTCCGCAGAGGGGACATGTACACTGATCATCAGGGCACTGATGATCAGTGTGCCCTGATGATCTGTGTAGTCCCAGCAGTGCCACATGTCAGTGTACATCAGTGCCTTACGTCAGTGCCCATCAGTGCCACATCAGTGCCACATATCAGTGCCTACCAGTGCACATCAATGCCACATATCAGTGCCCATCTGAGCTGCCTTTCAGTGTCACCCATCAGTGTCAGTCAGTGCCACATATTAATGCCAATCAGTGCCACCTATCAGTGCTGCCAACCAGTGCCACATATCAGTGCCAGTCAGTGCCGCTATCAGTGCCAGTCAGTGCTGCCTATCAGCGCGCATCAGTGCGCCTATCAGTGCCGCCTAACAGTGCCAGTCAGTGCCGCCTAACAGTGCCAGTCAGTGCCGCCTATCAGTGCTGCCTATCAGTGCCATGTATCAGTGCTGCCTTTCAGTGCCCATCAGTGATGCCTGTCAATGCCCATCAGTGCCACCTACCAGTGCCTCCTCATCAGTGCCCATCAGTGTCACCTATCAGTGTCCATCAGTGCAGTCTATCAGTGCCCATCAGTGCAGCCTCATTAGTGCACATCAGTGAAGGAGAAAAATCACTTATTTACAAAATTTTATAACAAAAACTAAGAAAAAAACTTTTTTTTCAAAATTTTCAGTGGTTTTTGGTTTCTTTAAGAAAAAAATAAAAAACCCAGAGGTGATTAAATACCACCAAAATAAAGCTCTATCTTTCTCAAAAAAATTATAAAAATTTCATATGGGTACAGTGTTGTTTGACCACGCAATTGTCATTCAAAGTGCGACAGTGCTGAAAGCTGGAAATTGGCCTGGGCAGGAAGGGGGTATAAGTGCCCTGTAGGCTAGTGGTTAAATACCAAAAAAAAAAAAAAACAAAATGATAAAAATTGTGTTCAAATACAGTGTTGAGTTACTGCACAATTGTCTGTAAGAGTACTGAAAGCTGAAAATTGGCCTGGGAAGGAAGGGGTTAAAAATGCCCAGAATTAAAGTGGTTAAAATATGTTTTTGTTGCAGTGTGTTCACATATGCTTTAACCACTTCCCGTCAGGCCCATGTACATAAACGGCAGCAGTGCAGGAGCGGGTGGCCGTTTATAAACATCCTCCCGCTTCCCTGCCTGTGCGCACTCCCTGGGAACACCAATCGCTGTACGGGACCTCTGTGTGAGGTCCCGATCATGTGATCACTGATTGGCCAATCAGTGATCACATGAATAGCAGTAAACAAGATGTCACTTCCTGACATCATTGCTTACTACTTGTGAAATCTGTGAATGATCACATGGTACAAGGCTATTCACAACAGCCTCGTGCCATGTGACAAGCTGTGACCAATCACAGCTCGCACAGTATTTCTCAATGGATACAAGAATGCAGCCAGAGAGGAGAACTGATTGCTTCTACATTCTATATGGGTGTAAAAGCAATTAGTGTAGAAAAAAAAATAAAATCTTCATCACCCCCCACAAGTATGGTGACACTGTACTGCTAGGGTGACAGTATGTTAAAAAAAAAACCCATAAATAATATAACATTTTTTTATAAAAATGTAAAAAAAAGTTTTTAAAAATTATAATTTTTGGTTATAAACTAATTTTTTTTTTTTTTTTTTTTTTTGTAATAAAAAGATAGCTGAATACATTTTGGCCAAGATTTATGAAGAAATATTTATTTGCAAATTTTATAAGAAAAACATTTTTTTTCAAAATGTTTGGACTTTTATTGTTATAGCAAAAAAATAAAATCCAAGAGGTGAATAAATACCACCATCTATCTCAAAAAATGCTGAAAAATTCATATGGGTACAGTGTTGCATGACGCTCAATTGTCATTCAAAGTGTGATAGCACTGAAAGCTGAAAATTGGCCTGGACAGGAAGGGGTTAATAGTGTCTGGACTTGAAGTGGTTAAAGCTGAAGTTTATTTAAAAAAAAAAAAAAAAAAAAATTTTTCTCCACAGCTTTAATTAATTACCCAAAAGGAAGTATACCCTTCAATATGCAGGCTGCTAGATCTAGTTCTGTAGAACTCTTCTCTGCTATCAATGAGAGAAAGCAAAAGAAAATCTCAAATTTTGGATTGTCACCAGAACAAGAATAGAGAGCAAATCTTCCACCAATGAGGACTCTGGTGACAACCGGGGATTTGTTCACTTTGGAGGGACTTCCTCTCACTTCCTTTTTCAGGACATGAAGGAAGATCTCTCATTGGGACACAGATAGCAAAAAAAAAAAAAAGCTTGACAGGAATTATAACCCCCTCACCTTATCCGAAATGAAAAAAAGTTCTACCTTTAGTTCTGATTGAATGTAAAAAAATCAATATGCAAATTCCAACAACTTTTAGCAAACTATCGGATATATCAATTTATTATCAAAAACTAGCTACCCCTATACATTATCTGGTGCAAATCACATGTAATCAAAAAGGTAAAGGTTTCTAGACGTTCTCCATAATTGTAGATGAACTTCTCTTGAGTAATGTGACCCATTCTCCAGACTGTGTAGCCCACCGGATCAGTGAAAACAATATTATGAAGACTTCCTAAGCTGCTCAGACCTACAGATGTACAGCCAAACCTCTCTTGTTTGTTGACCTAGCAGAAAACAAGTGAAATACCTAAACTGTTATTGCATTATTATTTTCAGAATTCTGGGGCATCATGCAAATTTTCCAAAATGAACACAATAATGATTCACAGTTCCAAGTACAATGTGTGACTCAAGCTCGGAGTACGTAACAAGAGCAGGAAACAGAACACAATGCTCAGGAGATTACCACTTCACTTATGGGACCCTCAAGGGACACCAACTTACTGTTTATTCAAACTACAAAGGCTGTTTTGTGGCTACTGGCAGAAAAAAACATGCACTTTGTGAAATGAGCCAGTACATAAAACTCAGCTGAAGTATTCTTGACCTAGGTATGTTGTCTTCAAAAAAACTTCAAGATCAAGTTCTGGTCATCGAACAGACATTTTAGAACCTAATTTAAAAAATACTGTAAGTTACTAAATTTTACAAATAGTATCTCAGGTATAACTGTGTCTGGAGAACACTGCTGCTCTGCAGCATGTGGTTTTGAAAAATAAATCCTACTATTCTTTAACCCCTTCATGATGAAGTTTAACCCCTTCCCGCCGGCGCCTCCCAGCCCTTAAAGAGTTTCAGATGCCGGGAGGCAGGGCGGGGTGGGGTGTGGTTTAGGGATCATGTGACCGCCGTGACGCGTTGTCATGGCGGTCACATGATCGGGAAAGGTCCCAATCAAAAGAGCAGACCAGGACCTTTCCGTGAGTACCGCACATGTGTGCTGGGAGCGTGCAGGGCGCGTGCTCTCAGCACATATGTTTTTTGTTACATGAACGCAAATGTGCAGCCGCTCGGCGTCTAGGCCCAGACACCGGGAGGCCGTATATTTGTGTGCGGCCGGCGTAAAGGGGTTAAACAAATCGTAAAGTGGTATTTTATCATACCAAGTTACGATTTGTAAAAACAAGACTGTATTGAATTGCAGCTCTCTAGTTCTTAGTCTTCATGCACACTGGACGTTTTTACAGTGGCTGTTTTTGGCTTTGACGTTTGTCTACAGCCAGTAAACCCCCAGCATGTTATTATTATTATTATTATTATTATACAGGATTTATATAGCGCCAACAGTTTGCTCAGCGCTTTACAATATAACAGGAGACAATACAGCAACAATACAGTTCAATACAAGAGGGTTAGGAGGGCCCTGCTCCTTGGAGCTTACAATCTATCCTATGTGTTCATGCACGCATAGACTGTAATCAACATTTTTTGGCAGGGGCGTTTTTTGGCTGGAAAAAAACCCAGGACTACTGGGTTTCTAGAGGAGTTTAGCTGTAAAAAACGATCTAATGCTGCAAAACGCTGTAACCCATGGTAAATTGCGGCAAACCGACATTTTTGGACTTTTTCTTTACAAAAAAATATTTTTGGGGTCAAAAAAAAACGCTAAAAAACGCAAAAAAAAAACGGCAAAACGCCACTAAACGCTAATGCAAAAATGCTAAAAATGCTGTAAAACTCAAGTTTTTAACGTGACTTTACACAGCAAACATTACCAGTGTTATTAAAACACCCAGTGTGCATGGAGCCTTACGCTCCATGTACACTGCAGCTGATAAACGCACGTTCAGGAGTTTTTCTGCGTTTTTTTCAGCAGCCCCTGAACTTTCCCTAATGTTTTCTTATGTGTCCATATACACTATGTCATTTACAGGCAGTTGAGTTTACAGTCGTTTTTTTGAACACACCAAACTTGCGTTCAGGAGTAGATTTTATCAGCTTTTCAAATTTTTTAACTCTTCCATTTCCAGATGCTGTCCAGAGTCTTTGTTCATCATGACAAATGCATGCAAAGCGTTTTCCCGGTACTCAAATGGACCTAGTACACTATACTTTGAGGTTTCGGATAAAAGAAAATATATTAGACACTGCTGCAATAATTTCTGCACAGAAATGAGCTAGAAACTCTTCCTAGATTGTAAGCTTGAAAGAGCAGGGCCCTCGATCCCCTCATGTTTTGCATTGTATTGGTATTGTTCTGTCACATGTTCTGTCCCCTTTGTAATGTACAGCGCTGAGCGAACTATTGGCGCTTTATAAATACTGTATAATAATAATAATAATAATAATAGAACACATCCAAACACCACAAAAAAAGACAGCTAATCTTAACAAATACTGCTCTCTCTGCTTCTGCTCTATTTCTCTCAAAATATCTGAATTAGTTAATTTTTTACTGTTTTTCAGTGCATTCTGGGCATTTTGGAAGGTTTCCTGAGTTTATCTTTAAAAAACGCTTCTAAATGTAAACATTCATAAACGCACATAGACACAGTATGCAAACGCTGCTAAACAGATGTTTTTTAACCTACAGGTGAAACTCGAAAAATTAGAATATCGTGCAAAAGTTCATTCATTTCAGTAATGCAACTTAAAAGGTGAAAACTAATATATGAGATAGACTCATTACATGCAAAGCAAGATAGTTCAAGCTGTGATTTGTCAGAATTGTGATGATTATGGCTTACAGCTCATGAAATCCCCAAATCCACAATCTCAGAAAATGAGAATATTGTGAAAAGCTGCAATATTCTCGGCTCAAAGTGTCCCACTCTAATCAGCTAATTAAGCCATAACACCTGCAAAGGGTTCCTGAGCCTTTAAATGGTCTCTCAGTCTGGTTCAGTAGGAATCACAATCATGGGAAAGACTGCTGACCTGACAGTTGTGCAAAAAACCATCACTGACACCCTCCATAAGGAGTGAAAGCCTCAAAAGGTAATTGCAAAAGAAGTTGGATGTTCCCAAAGTGCTGTATCAAAGCACATTAATAGAAAGTTATGTCGAAGGGAAAAGTGTGAAAGAAAAAGGTGCACAAGCAGCAGGGATGACCGCAGCCTGGAGAGGATTGTCAGGAAAAGGCCATTCAAAAGTGTTGGGGACTTTCACAAGGAGTGGACTGAGGCTGGAGTCAGTGCATCAAGAGCCACCACACACAGACGGATCCTGGACATGGGCTCCAAATGTCATATTCCTCTTGTCAAGCCGCTCCTGAACAACAAACAATGTCAGAAGCGTCTTACCTGGGCTACAGAAAAACAGACCTGGTCTGTTGCTCAGTGGTCTAAAGTCCTC